TAAGACTGACAGAAACTTCGTAACATAAGGTATCTGCATACAAAGTATGAAGCATCCAGGTCTTCTACCTTCTGAAATATAAAGCTTTATAGAAATAGTTTACGCCACCGCCGCTGCCACCTGATAGTAATACCTGTCTCACTCTGCGACTTTCGTCACAGGCAAGACAATAAAAACAAAACAAATGTCCTCATGATTTTTACCTTTCAAATAAATGTTTTACCACAAAGAAGCAATTTAACAATGTTTAAAAATACCAAGAAACAGATACTGTGAATAATTTTCATTTACACTTACTAGTTAAGCTTGAAATGACAAAAAAATCAATTTGAAGAGACTGCACCAGTATTTATGTGGTCAATAGATTACGCTTTGTATCTAATAAATTGTTGACGCAGTGATATATTTCGTCTTTATTCAATTTTGATAGTATGATGCAATTGTTTGAAATTAAAATTGTGCAAAACAATAAAAGTCAATGAACCATAACTGAAGGTGCAGGGACAAATAACCATCTTGGAAATGAGAAATGCCAATACTAATACAATTGCATACCAAATTTCACAAGTGTTTCCCTTCCTTAAAACTGACCTAAACACAAACTTTAACATGTAGACTATGCAAAAGTTTCAAAACCAAAAGACCATGACTGAGGGGGCAGGGACTAACAATATCCATGGAAATGAGATGTGCCAATGTCAATACAGCTGCATACTAAATATCATTGACCTACCACCAGTGGTGCCCCTTTAACTAACCTAATCACAAACTAGTAGATTGTTGACGCCGACGCTGACACTGCCAGAAAAAAAATCATGTTTAAGTCTGGCGTTTTCTACTTTGTCCAGCCAGGACAAAACCTATTTGTATCATTGAATAGGTTCAAAGGGTGCTGCTCAGGAGAGTCTTGAAGTTGGATGTGCACATATTAGCTCATTTTGAAGACCAAATACATGTGAAGCTGGGAACACTGATGATAGTGCAATTACTTTTATGTGTAGTTGTTTCGTAATATTTCATGAAAATGTTTTCTACCCAACATTCTTTCTTATCCAATAGCAAGGACCACATTTCTCATGAAATAAATGGCAATTTATTACTTTGACAATCCAAATAAACATCTAGAATATTCAAACTATTTCTCATGCTTGCATGACCATCAAAAAAGTCTTCTTTTTTTTTTAATATTTCACTTGTCAGAATAATTAAAAATTTGAAATGTTTCCCGCCTTGGCCTTTGATTCTGGTACTTTGACCATTAAATGATTACATTTAGAAACCTTACAAATATTTCACACATTCTCTTTTTTTCTTGAATAATACATTAACTACAGTGTAATGAGGTTTCTTGGCCTTGAATTGAAAATGAAGGACCAGTAAGTTGATGAAAGGACAACCCAGAACCTTTTACAAACAAAATTATAAATTAAAACCTCTACTATTGTATTAAGACAAACAAATTAAAAAAAAAGACAATTATTTCTGACATAAAATATTTATTTTGTATTTACAAAAGAACTATGGAAAATTGATACATCAACACATTTCTTTCCAAATGAAAGTTGTTATTTACACTGGTGAATTCTATCTAAGATATACATCTTTTTCATTAAATGTCAATACTTCAAAGCATAAAGCCTGACTAATAAAAAAAATACGAGTAAAAAAAGTAAGTTCTTTTGTCTAATAATCATACATGCATACATTTGAATTTTAAGGCTAAGTAAAGCTTTCTATTTCTTATCTTGTACAAAAGAGAAGGTTCAATAAGGCCCCAATATGACCCCTACTACTACCTATAATTACAAATTATTATTGAATGGCCTTTATTACAATGCATCATAGTTAAAACAATGAATAGATAGGAGAAATGCTGTTTTTTTTATCTATTAATTTATCGGCATTTTTTTCATGAAATAAAAATAAGTATAACTTTCATTTCCTACCAATTAAAACAGGCTAATTTCAATAGGTTTTTATGCATCATCTTCAAAAGCTTTTCAGCCTGAAATAATTTACTTCAAATTGGGACATAATAGGGCACTTACCACATCTACTCCTTTCAGAATAGAAATAGCAATTTCACCATTTTTAAAATAATCACTGAATTAATTTGTCAAAACACTCACTGAAGCAATTAAAATATTATTTACAAATATTTTGTTTTATATTTACATTTATACAATTGTGAACATTATATATATTGCACTGCTATACATAAACACTTAGTTTTCAAAATAATCATGATTTTTTTGTGTGTTAAAGTTAAAAACAGAATTCCATGCAACAGAGGCAAACTATAGTACATCAATGCAGATGATATTTTGCTTCATACAGACATCTGCTAAAACCCTCAATTCATAAGGAAGTCAAGACATAGAAGTGGTGTCAGTATGTCTTCCTTCCATGTTTAATTGGAATGTCTAATAACACCATAACATATCCAACAATAAGCCAAACTAAGTATCAGCTTCAAAGCTTTTAAAACTTTATATCCATTGGGCCAAAAATAAAATTTAAATTGTTTGATGTTGCCTACCTACCCGAAAAATTTTATGACACAAACTGTTTCCAATTTTTTTTTAAAAGATTTTTTCCTGCTTTAACGTCGTTTTCTTGTCTAAAACATGTAACAAAGAATTTTTTAAGGGTGGCCTTGCATTCAATCGATTCAGATTTTAAATTTAGAAATGCCTTTTCACCTTTGTGTCAAATTATACATTCATACCATTTCAACAACATTAGTTTCTAAGATATTGGCCAAGATAAAACGGTTTGAAATGATACATTACTAACATGTTCATTGATATATATATTCCATTTTGCTTTAAAAAATAAACTCATGAAGTAAAATTTGATAAAGTCACTACAGCTTTAACTCAAATCATTGTGACTTCTATATTGCAGAGCTGTCTTTACAAAAGGGCAGCAGTAGAATGATTTATTACTACAGATATTTCTAAAGTCACTCAAGAACAACACTTTGTGATCGTGACTGAAATTTTGCTGTATAGCAACTTAATAAGAGAGTGAAATATTATACATAGCTACAAGTTTCTGGGAATTAAACTTGACACAAAACATGCTGTAGTCATTTCATTAATAGCAACACAAATTTGGCAGCACAGTGCTCATTAGAAGATGGTTTATCTATCAAATGTTCCTATGAGGTTCATTACAGACAAAATATAACAAGAGTGGACACGCTGAAATGTCTCGCCTTCTTTACAAACCATTGATATTATGTTGATAGTCCTAAATGAAAGCTTTACTACAACTATTACATAAACTTAACATGATCCAAGAAAATGAAGTCAAGGTCATATAAACCAAACAAGAAATACATGTACACCTTACAATCATTCAATACACTAAATATAGTTGACCTATTGCTTATAGTTTCTAAGAAACAGACTTAACCAAGAAAACTAAACATTGACCAATGAATCGTGAAATGAGGTCAAAGTCAGATGAACCATGCCAGGCAGACATGAACAGCTTACAATCCTTCCATACAACAAATATAGCTGACCTATTGCTTATAGTTTAAGAAAAACAGACTGAAACACATAAACTTAACACTGAGCAATGAACTGTGAAAATGAGGTCAAGGTCAAATAAAACCTGCTAGACTGACATGTACATCATAGAATATTTTCATACACCAAATATAGTTGACTTATTGCATAATAGTATAAGAAAAAAGACCAAAACTCAAAAACTTAACTTAAACTTAACACTGAGCAATGAACTGTGAAAATGAGGTCAAGGTCAAATAAAACCTGCTAGACTGACATGTACATCATAGAATATTTTCATACACCAAATATAGTTGACTTATTGCATAATAGTATAAGAAAAAAGACCAAAACTCAAAAACTTAACTTTGACCACTGAACCATGAAAATGAGGTCAAAGTCAGATGACACCTGCCAGTTGGACATGTACACCTTACAATCATTCCATACACCAAATATAGTAGACCAATTGGATAAAGTATAAGAAAAACTGACCAAAACACAAAAACTTAACTATAACCACTGAACCATGAAAATGAGGTCAAGGTCAGATGACACCTGCCAGTTGGACATGTACACCTTACAATCATTCCATACACCAAATATAGTAGACCTATTGGATAAAGTATAAGAAAAACGGACCAAAACACAAAAACTTAACTATAACCACTGAACCATGAAAATGAGGTCAAGGTCAGATGACACCTGCCAGTTGGACATGTACACCTTACAATCATTCCATACACCAAATATAAAAGACCTATTGCATACAGTATAAGAAAAACAGACCAAAACACAAAAACTTAACTATAACCACTGAACCATGAAAATGAGGTCAAGGTCAGATGACACCTGCCAGCTAGACATGTACACCTTACAATCATTCCATACACCAAATATAATAGACCTATTGCATACAGTATAAGAAAAACAGACCAAAACACAAAAACTTAACTATAACCACTGAACCATGAAAATGAGGTCAAGGTCAGATGACACCTGCCAGTTGGACATGTACACCTTACAGTCCTTCCATACACCAAATATACTAGACCTATTGCTTATAGTATCTGAGATATGGACTTGACCACCAAAACTTAACCTTGTTCACTGATCCATGAAATGAGGTCGAGGTCAAGTGAAAACTGTCTGACAGGCATGAGGACCTTGCAAGGTACGCACATACTAAATATAGTTATCCTATTACTTATAATAAGAGAGAATTTAACATTACAAATAATCTGAACTTTTTTTTCAAGTAGTCACTGAACCATGAAAATGAGGTCAAGGAAATTGGACATGTGACTGACGGAAACTTCGTAACATGAGGCATCCATATACAAAGTATGAAGCATCCAGGTCTTCCACCGTCTAAAATATAAAGCTTTTAAGAAGTTAGCTAACGCCGCCGCCGCCGCCGCCGCCGGATCGCTATCCCTATGTCGAGCTTTCTGCGACAAAAGTCGCAGGCTCGACAAAAAATACAATTCAGTAATAAAAATCAGTTTTGAGGTCTTAAACCCGTGGTCGATGTGTGACAATCCTGACATTGGTGTTCCTATTAAATGTCTGTATGTGGTTGTTAATTGCCGCCAACATATAATCCTCCATAGCTGGTTGTGGATGTTGTGGTTTCTTGTATCTTCCCATATTTTGTTGCAAGGGAGTCTTTGGCGCAGGACGTCTTCTCTTCTCCAAGGCTGATAAGCAGTTGATCCACCAAAGTTCATCTTCTCTATTTAGTTTACCATTCTTTACCCATTTTGGTAGATCTGTTCTCATCAACAGAATGATACCACTAATTTTTTCCTTATTCGGTTATACCAACCATGAGGAATGTCAGCTTGATCTGTCAAAAAAAACATAAATAGATATAGATTTGAAATAAGTAACTAATGCTTCAATTCCAATTCTCATATAGTTCAAATAAAATTACATAGATGCCAACCCTTTTTTGGTGCAGGATAATAACAGAAAATCAAGTCTCAATATGATCACCACAATATCTAGTGGGGACTGTTCTGTTCAACACAAATAATTAACAGAACAAAAACAAGCAAAATATGGACTATAGCACGTTATGGTCTATGGTCGGGAAATAATTCCAATTACTGAAAATCGTAATTTTTGGCATCTATACATTTTACTGACAATTTACAAACTTGACAAGCTGCTCAAGGCAGTGTCACTGATCAAATGATCAAGTTGAACTCTTAATCTGTGTTTTTAAATGAACTTTAGAATTTCAGTACATTTTAAGCAATTGAATCAATTGTGATTTTTAGATTCTGTGACATCTGACCTACTATAAGGTCATACGACTAGCACTTTTGCTTTGTTATGTGAAACATTTTCTCTTTTGATGATATAATTTTATAGGAAATTTTGTGAAATTTTGTAATGACAAACATATACATGATATAGTGATAAAGTGTTTAAATTTGCAATAAACGAATATTGGAACTAAAAATGTTTTGCATGCTGTAATGTCTTAATTTAACAGTAACTGGAAGTAAGGATAACAAAAAATCATACATGTATGCAAAAGAACTTCTATAATAATATTCAAATACCAAATTTTGTTACCATGGTAAGTCCATCTATCAGTAAAAAAATGCAAAAGAATAAAATAAATAATTACCTTTTTTACAATTTCCATTTTCACCAATATTGCTAGGAACATTATCACAAACTTATTTTTGTTGTCATCAGTTTGAATATAAAGTGTAGGAGGTAAACCACCATTTTCCTAAAAGAAAAAAAGTGAAACAGCTATACATATTATATATTCATGATATCTTTACAATAAAAAGTTTTCCAATCCTTTAATACTGAACAAGACATATTACCTAGCATATAAAGTATGCCAAAGTTAAAGTAACACAGCTGAATTTTAAAAAAAGATGTATTTTCAACAATGTTAATTTATGGTGAAACTGCATGAATAAATTGTTTCATTTCACCTCTTATCATGAGATAGGCAATTTGTTCTCCACTTTTTCAGTGAATTTATCATATTTATTCGAAAAAAAATAGATCAAAGACTAAAATGACCGGGTTGCACACATTGTTTCTTAAACAATGGAGAATGGTCTATGGGTATCTGGGTTGAAAACTGTAGGAGTTGATTACACAAAAACTTGTACCCTCTTTCATAAATTTTGCTGAAAAGTGACTAAGTTTCCAAGTCTGGAAAAATGAGAAAAAATTCCTCAAACAATTCCATAATAGCAGGTGCACAACTTTCACATATGTGCAATCTTCCTGTGAAGTTTCAGGGATCTGGGTTGAAAACTATAGGTGGAGTTGATTACACAAATTAGGTACCCACTTTTCCCCGCCCGCCTGCCTGCCCATCATCACCATACTATAATCCCGTTTCCCGGCCAAAAATTTTGCTTATATTTCCATAATATTTTACTTAATTTTTGGTATAAAGAAAACCATTAAATACCACAGAAAATAAAAATGCAATTGAAATTTATAGACTATATTATTAATAATGTTCATGCATATAGATGTTCATGCATTTAGATATATATATAATTCAGAAATGTGAATGTGAAAATAATCCTCCATCAAATGAGATTTACATAGTGTTCAAGTGCAAAAGTAAACAAAATAGACTTTCAGAATTGTTTTTTAAAACTATCAGGGTCAGCAAGAGATTGACACAAGCATGCTGTTGGTTTTCTTTTTTGAATTTGTTTTCCATTTTGTCATCACATGGCATTTTAGCTAAGTATAGGGTATGGGTTTTGCTCACTGCAGAAGGCCATACTTTGACCTGCAATAGTCAACATCATCATTTGATCATTGTCCGTTAGTCTTTATGCATAATTGTTTCATTGGCAATCATACCTATCCTTATTTTTATATGAAATATATAGCAACATTACACCCACCACATCTGTCAATGACTTTTAAGTATTGATTTTGAGAAAAGCCTACAAAGCAGGGTTAAGAACAATACTATAATTGTATTCATAAAAGAAAAGCAATTATAGGCCTATCCTCTTATGATGTTTATCATAGTCATGAAAATGAAGCCACCAAAATTTCATACTGATTTCCATACTTGTTGCAAACTTGGCACCACACAGTCCAATAATGAAAAGTTCATATAAGTTTATAACTGTTAGTGATATCGATGTATCTAACTTTAAGGGTTTTAAAGCAACCTTGTCAAATTATTATTTCCAATTTAATATAATATGCTAGATTGGACTCATCTGTTATTTTTCATGACTTTATCATGTGAACTCTTTGGATAGTTGTCTCATTGGCAATCATACCACATCTCTTAATTTTTATATTGTAGATGGTTCTTTGATGTTTAAAATTAATGGACTAAAAGTGGCTTCCATACACTTTGACTTTCTTGTAGATACATAAATTGTAAAGTTAAGAAAAATGTGTTTTTCTCCTGCATGTGAACTTTAGTCAATTGTTTCACTTTGAACTTGATAATTAATACTTACTTTTGTTACATCGCCTGACACAGACATCAAACAATTCAAGGTGATATTACAATCAGAGGAAAACTGATCTGTCCATGTAAATGTGTATGCCTTATTTAATCCGTGACATAAAACACCTGTGACATGGTGGTGCATTTTTTCAAGTGTTGTTTCATTCTGAAAAAAAATTTGTTGAAAAACATGTGCTCATAACTTAAACCAGAATGCACTCACAATTCAAAATATTGGCAAACAGGAAGTAGTTATCTGACATATCTGAAAGGTGCACACTTAACAACTCATCTCTGTTGAGCTGCTGACCAAATAAAAAGTCATTGTGTTCAGTAGTTTCTGAGAAAAATGTGACAAAAAAGGTTAAGTTCATTCAAATATTGAAAAATTCAAAGTATAAGCAAACAGGAAGTAGGTATCTGACAGATCTTCAGATGCTTCACATATCACAAATCATCACTGTCAAGCTGCTGACCAAATATGAAGTCATTCTGTTTAGTAGTTTCTAGAAAAGTTTAACGAAATATTTGTTGTACAAACAGATAGACAAGGTGATACCAATATAGCCCCCCCTTCTAGAATGGTATAATATTTGTCTCATACAAAATGCCTAAAAGAAAATAAATACTGCTAGAAGTTTTTTTCCTGTCAGAATGTTTATTTTAGCTACACATCCAGTTAGTTCATATGATTGCTGCTTCGCCTTAAGTTAATCAATCATTTAATAACAAGTAAATATAGTACTAAATAAAATGTCAACACAGAGATAGGTTTCCCATGTGTGACCTTATCACAAATTCTAACATTTGCCTGACATTCGTAGCAAAATTAAAAGAGACCATTCGAATGATATACCAAATATTTGTAAAAGTGATTTTATAAAGTACAAATATGATTAATCTAACACTGTCAACCCGTTTTCAATATTGAAATTGATTATTGCAGTGAAATATCATGTTCTTTTCAGAAATATACATAAAAGTAACTACCATGAAATGTATTATGTAAGAAGTATGTAGTGATGTATCATCCCAGTGGTCAGACCAAATAACCTAAATCTAGTTGTATAGACATAATGGACTTTGCAATTTTATACACACTTCCAAAATAAACTCACCTTAAAATGTAACGTAAATCTTGGCAGATTTGTTTTGGACTGATCCATATTGTCACTGATAACAGATGTATACATGCTTGGATGTTCTTTGGATTTCTTGATGTGTTTAAAATATTTTTCTCTGCAGAGACTGAAAAAAAAATCAAAATATATACAATATACCCACAAATGGCAGAATTTCACTGATGCACCACTATCAATACACCCCAAAACTCAAACGGGTTTTAAAGTTAGAGAAAAAAAATGTATTTAAAAAAAATAAATATGCACATGGATGCACGACTAAGTTGCGCTAATTCTATGACCATGACTTCCTTATACCCAACACACCTTCTAGAAGTGGTGATTAATCATGCCAGGTTTCATTACCCAACATCAAGGTGTAGTGATGTTAGGAAGCGTAAACTATCTTTATACCTATGCATGGGGGTGACTAAACTAAAGAGCCTGTGTCGCTCACCTAGGTCTATGTGCATCTTCAACAATGGACATTCTCCAACATTGTAGACTAAAATAGAATTTATGACAATAATCTCTTTTTTGTTGATATTGTATTGCTGATCATTTTTCTGTTGATAGTTTCTCTCCATCTTCTCTAGTTTTTGCCCAAAACACAAAAAAGGGTAAAAAAACAGTAATTTAAGGGCAATTACTCATATAAAGTGTCTACTAAAGATTTCAGCAAAATTTAACTTGTTTGTAGATCTTGCCTTGCTAATCATTTTTGCTTTTTAAAGTGTATCTATCTTTTATAGTTTTCAAGATAATAGGCAAAAACACTAAAAATTGGTAAATATCGCCATTTAAGACCAATAACTCCAATAAAGAGTCAACTGATGGTTTTGATGTAAATGGACAGAAGGTAGATCACAACATTCTGAACATTTCTGCCCTGTCAGATTTATCTCTATTAATAGCAGTTTTCAAGATAATAGACAAAACTTGCATTTTACCCCTATGTTCTATTTTTAGCCCTGTCAGCCATTTTGGTTGGCAGGCATGGTCATTGACCACCTTTTTTATACTAAATACCCAAATGATGATTGTGGCCAAGTTTGGTTAAATTTGGCCCAGTACTTTCAGAGGAGAACATTTTAATGAAAAACGACGGACGACAAGTGATGAGAAAAGCTCACTTTGCCCTTTGGGTCAGGTGAGCTAAAAATGGGGATGTATCTGCATTAAACATGAAAAATACAAGAAATTCATATTCAAGTGTGGAAAGAATTCTTACTATTGAAGAAGCATATGTGCTCTACATCTTCTCTTGTCCTTCAGCACCCCAAATCAATCTTTGTCAGTTTTTCGCTGATGGTCTCTTTAAAGATTACACACTCGTTACATTTGCTGAGCTTCTGATACTACAAATAAAAAATTCGTAAGAGGTTCTGCGGAACCCTGTGTCTCGCCTGCTATTGCTGCTGTCAGTGTAAAAGTGTAATGTTGACTTAAAAAGTGAGTCCATTTATCAGTAAAATACAGAATTTAAAAAAAAAAATCAAACTTTTTCTTTAGATGCATTTTTCATGGTCTTGAAGATTAGCTTCTGTCCAAGTTACATAACAATCTATGAAGGTTTACAAATTTATCATGTCAAAAAAGTTGAATCCCAAACTGTCTGTAAATGTTAACTGTAAAAAACTAAGTCCATCTATCAGAAAAATACTGAAAATGAAAAAAATATATTTTCAAAAGTTTGCTTCAGACATTATCTCTTAATCATAAAAAAGCTTCTGCCAAAGTTTCATAAAATTCTATGAAGGTTTGATAAAGTAATTGATGTGTAACAAACTTTAACCCCAGTCTGTATCTATTTGTTAAATGTAAAAATAACTAAGTCTATTTATAAGTAAAATACACAAGTCCATTATCAGTAAAATACAGAAAAATGAAAATAAATATTTTCAAAATTTTGCTCTGGATACTGTATTTTGGTCATAAACAAGCTTCTGTCCCAATTTCCTAAAATTCCATGAAGGTTTGACAAAGTTATTGATGACTGAAAAACTTTAACCTCAGACTAAATCTGAATGTTAACTGTAAAAAAAACTAAGTCCATTTATCAGTAAAATACGGAAAAATGAAAATAAATATTTTTAAAATTTTGATCTGGATACTGTATTTTGGTCATAAACAAGCTTCTGTCCGAATTTCCTAAAATTCCATGAAGGTTTGACAAAGTTATTGATGTCTAAAAAAACTTTAACCACAGACTGAACCTAAATATTGACGCCGCCGACGAAGGAATCTAGGATCGCTATGTCTCGCTTTCGCGACATAAATGTCGCAGGCTCAACAAAAAAGACATCTAATTAATTCTATGTACAATTATTAATTTATGCATGAATGGACATTTTTTTTATATGACGGAAGTGTTAACTATCTGCCATAAAGCAGGAGGTATGATATAAATAGCCTTTATCAGGCCAATGAAATTTCAAAAAAAGTTAAGTTATTCAAGACTTTCAACATTAAGTTCATTTTTTTTTATAAATAAAAAGGTTGAAATATAGTAATTATTCTAATTTTTGAAGGCCTAAGGTGACCTTTAGTTGCTTAAATCCATGTCATTTGGACTCTATAGGATAGTTGTCTCATTGGCAATCATACCACATTACTTATTTTATACTTGAGTGCAGAAAGGAAATTTTTTTTCATAAACATGTTGACATTAACATATTTGACCATTTAACACATAGTTTTTGGACAAAATTGATGTCTGTCATGACTTTACCCAAAAATATATTTTATACACATTAACATCTTTGTAAAATACATTTGATAGCATATGTTTTTAGGTAAAGCATTGGCATAATTACTGTTGAGATGTGTCAGACCTTGATGATTTCCTATTTTTCAGATATGATTTAGACATCTGCATATTTTGTTATCAAATTTTTACTGATTATACCTTGAAATGAATTTCAATGAATTTAAGAGCCATTATTGACCCTTCATCATGTTCATAAACCAACACCTTTGTTCTAAATATTATTCCATACAAACCTTTGGAATTTTAACATGAGGAAACTCTTCACTCCACATTCCATAGAACCTTGGGTAAGACAAATAGGGGATTCTAAATTCTCACAGGAAGATTTATAATCCGTCAAAACTTGCAGAAGAGAGAGACATGATGGAAAATGTATTTCTAGTATGTCAGGCTGATCATCACCATATCTCTTGCATAGACCAGACACAAAACTCTTTGCTTCAAGGTACTGGCGACTCTTGTATTGTTGGCTACATCTTTTATCAGAACTGTCTAAATCTTCGTTAGTAGACAAACATTTCTTTTTCATGTAGTAATACCTGAATGTTATAAATGTAAAAAATATTACAGGGCTTATACCACTCCTAATTCATGTGTTTTTTTCTTCGGTTATTTGGGATCCATTTGACCAATCCTTTTATTGAAATTTTGTCTTTTGTCATAACAAACATTTTTCATTTTGTTTTAACTGTGGAAATTGAACACCGTTCAAGTAAATTGTTAAAAAAAAAACCTCCAGACTGTACCTTAACTTTTACTTAAAAATGCAAAAAGACCAAAAGACAAACAACAGTATACAAAACACAACATAGAAAACTAAAGACTGAGCAACACGAACCCCATCAAAAACCGGGGGGTGATCTCAGGTGCTCCAGAAGGGTAAGCAGATCCTGCTCCACATGTGGCACCCTTGGTATAAATTACATGAGTGTTTGACAAAAGTTATTTATGTCTAAAAAATGGAGCCACAGACTGAGCATACTAGGGGGAGGGTTCAGCCAGCTCGAATATGCTTAACCCTGCCACATTCTTTATGTGCCTGTCCCAAGTCAGGACCCTGTAAATCAATGGTTGTTGATTGCTGTCTGTCATATTTTGTTTTTGTTTATTGCTTTAGCATAAATTAGGCTGTTGGATTTCTTGTTTGAATTGATTCACATTCTGTGAGCTTTTATAGCTTACTATACAAAATGGGTTTTTCTTTGTTAAAGGCCTTACAGTGACATGTAGTTGTTTGCATCCTCGTCATGGATAGTTGTTTCATTGGCAATTATACCACATCTCCTTTTTAAATACAAATGTTGTATATATTAAAAATTAACCAGGCAAACTACAACAGAATGTTGAATCGCTACTTTTGATGTTGGGTTGCTGTCTTATGGATGTGTAGCCTATTAACTATTTTATTCATACTAATATGGTATTATACCTCCTTCTTTTTATGCCATACACAATCCTTCATGCATGTTCACAAACTCTCCTACCAGTCAGCACAAAAGTCAACTGTTTGTCTTCTAAACTGGCATCATTGCACCTGTGTACAAAAATAAAAAAACACTTGGAAAAATGTAAATAGATCTCAAGAACACATGTTTTCATCTGATCTGAAAGAAATGAGTAAAATTTATAAAGGATATCCCTACATTATTTGTATGTATCATTCATGAGACATTTTATTTTTCAGAAAATAAACACCATAGTTTGTTCTTGTGTTGTGTCGTTGCACCATTGTCCCAGGTTAGGGGAGGGTTGGCGCCTTCAAACATGTTTAACCCAGCCACATTATGTATGTGCCTGTCCCAAGTCAGGAGCCTGTAATTCAGTGGTTGTCGTTTGTTGCTGTATATCATATTTGTTTTTCGTTTATTGTTTTGTACATAAATCAGGCCATTAGTTATCCCGTATGAATTGTTTTACATTTTTCATTTCGGGGTCTTTTATAGCTTACTATGCGGTATGGGTTTTGCTCATTGTTGAAGGCCGTACGGTGACCTATAGTTGTTAAATTCTACGTCATGTGGTCTCTGGTAGAGAGTTGTCTCATTGGCAATCATACCACATCTTTTTATTTTTCTACCAGATGTCTGCTATCTTTGTTGCAGACAAAACAAAAAAAATATCTAAATAAAACTTACTTTAAATTAAGTTCTATTAGACTTCTTAATAAGTAAAGGTAGCTATAAGCAGAAGGCAGCATGTACACTCAGTATATCAGTATGTGAAAGTACATGTACTTGCCAGTTATTGGTTTGGTGGTTTAATATGGTTTTCTCAACCAAATTATAGCATGTTATATAGCATTATGAAATTGTATAAATCCAAGTATTGTTGCATATCAAACAATCAAATAAATTCTATTCATATATATATATTGAGTATACCTTATGTTTCACTCAATGAAATCTGACTGTTCCTCATGGGTCTTTTTATACAACATAGCTTGACAGGTCTGTATTGTCTGAATGTTACTGGTACTTAAACATTTTTTCTCACAAGGCTGTTTATAACATTGAAGTCAGTCTCCTTGTCTTTTAATACCTTTGATGTTTTTTCATGTTTCCTGGCTAAAATTAAAAAGAATAAAAGATAAAGTTGTTTGGAGAAATATCAGAGCCTTGCAATTCTAAAAAAATACTTGCCAGTCTATTCTATCTAAAAACCATGACCAAGGTTTGGGGAACAGACTTTTTTTAAATATCGCCTGGTCTTAAATGGAAAGACATGATTCGAAGTCTCATTGATACATATGCCAAATCTTTTATTCAGTGACAATATAACAAACTTTCCTTTTTTGAGAAAAAAGAAAACTTGAAAAATTATAAATTTACTCAGATAACTCTAATTTCAACATTAGTGAACAGTAGATAGTATTGACGTAAAGTCAGATAAGTCTTTTTCAACATAAGTGTATATGTTGGATAAATATAAATTTTTAATGGGTTTGGCGTAATCATGTGTCTCGCCTGCTATTGCTGCTGTTGATGTTAAAGTGTGAGGTTGCCAACAACCAAACTTGTCCATTTATCAGTTATATCTGAATTTTCTTTTGTAAATCTAATGTTTTTTTTCAGATGCTATTTCTTAATCATGGAGATACTTGTCTAAGTTTCGTAACATTCCATGAAGGATAAACAAAGTTATTGATGTCATAAAAATTTAACCCAAGACTTTAAGTCCATTTGTAAATTTCTATTATTCAGTTTATCATGTTTATTAGGGAAAATGAAAAAAATAATTTCAAAATATTGTTCTTGATACTGTCTTTTGATCATAAGAAGCATCTGTCAAAGTTTCGTAAAATCTTATAATGGTTATTGGTGTTTGAAAAACTTTAATCTTAGACTGTATATCAATGTTAGATGCAGAAAAAATATGTCCATTTATCAATAAAACATGGAAAATGAGAATAAATACTTTTCAAATTTTCCACTGAATACTGTTAAGCTTCTGTCCAAGTTTCATGCCTTTAACATATTTTAATTAATTCTTTGTTCTCACCTATTTTGTGCTTTGCTTTTCTAACATCAATGTAGTCATCTTCTGTGTCACTGTCTACAAAACAACAATAATTATGTCATGCGAGTAAAATAAAATTATTCATGTTCACTCCTCTTATTCTACAGTAGGGGTCCGAAGAACTAGAAATTAATTTGGTGTGGCCTTTTAACATCTTGTTTCAAAAATATTTCTTCTTATATGTTACAAATGTGGACACAGACTTGTGTTGTCTGATGGCGAATTTTGATAATGACTTGTGCAGGGGTGGATTCTTGTGGGTGCCAGCAGGCGCATTTGCACTCCAAAATCTAAAATTCTGTTGTGTTGTCTGGTGGGCGAATGTGGACACTGTTTCACATTGAAATAGTAATACTGCAGACACATCAGGAAGTCACAAAACATTAACAATGAAGGACAACTCTCAGGAGAAACACTTGAAAATTACTATGACTGATGTGGTTCTACAAATATGTTGCATATTTGATTTTGTCATGCCTAGACTCCCAAGACCAAACTGAAATTTAAAAGATTTAAATAAAAATAAAATTTGATCGAAACTTTGAAATATGAATTTAATGCAAGATAAAAAGGGTCAATACTTCAGAATTTCAGTGAAAAAGTTTGATAATGATAATAAAAATGCAATGAATAAATTTAGCATCTGTTTAGCCTTGTGAGTTTCATCTAATTTACATTGTTAAAAATGTAATCATTTGTCATGGAACGCATTAGTTGGCTCTGCATTTGGTATTTGTTTTCATCATGCCTGGACTCCTAAGGCCAAACTTAAATTTAAAGGATTTAAGTAAAAATAAAAGCTGATCAAATCTTTTTAAATTTTATTTTAATGCAAGATATAATAAAATGCTCCGCAGGGCGCAGCTTGATACGACCGCAGAGGTCGAACCCTGAACAGTTGGGGCAAGTATGGACACAACATTCAAGCTTGATACAGCTTTGCATTTGGATTGTGATTAAATATTTGACACAGCATAGGTTTCTGACACAGAATGAATGTGGTCTAAGAACTTAATAATTTTTAATTGAACATTCACCTATTATGGTCCAATATCCAAAATCTAAATACATGGTTAGATTCAGCATATCAAAGAACCCCAAGAATTCAATTTTTGATGAAATCAAACAAAGTTTAATTTTGGACCCTTTTGACCTCAATGTGGACAAAGTTGATAACGGGACCCAAAAATCAAAAATCTAAATACATGGTTAGATTCAGCATATCAAAGAACCCCATATATTTAATTTTTGTTGAAATCAAACAAAGTTTAATTTTGGACCCCGATTTGGACCAACTTGAAAACTGGGCCCATAATCAAAAATCTAAATACATGTTTAGATTCAGCATATCAAAGAACCCTAAGAATTCAATTTTTGTTAAAATCAAACTAAGTTTAATTTTGGACCCTTTGGACCTTAATGTAGACCAATTTAAAAACGGGACCCAAAATTAAAAATCTAAATACACGGTTAGATTTGGCATATCAAAGAACCCCAATAATTCAATTTTTGATGAAATCAAACAAAGTTTAATTTTGGACCCTTTTGACCTCAATATGAACCAATTTGATAGCGGGTCCACAAATAAAAAATCTAAATACATGCTTAGATTCAGCATATCAAAGAACCCCAAGAATTCAATTTTTGATGAAATCAAACAAAGTTTAATTTTGGACCCTTTTGACCTCAATGTGGACAAAGTTGATAATGGGGCCCAAAAATCAAAAATCTAAATACATGGTTAGATTCAGCATATCAAAGAACCCCATATATTCAATTTTTGTTGAAATCAAACAAAGTTTAATTTTGGACCCCGATTTGGACCAACTTGAAAACTGGGCCCATAATCAAAAATCTAAATATATGTTTAGATTCAGCAAATCAAAGTACCCTAAAAATTCAATTTTTGTTAGAATCAAACTAAGTTTAATTTTGGACCCTTTTGACCTTAATGTAGACCAATTTGAAAACGGAACCAAAAATTAAGAATCTAAATACACGGTTAGATTCGGCATATCAAAGAACCCCAATAATTCAATTTTTGATGAAATCAAACAAAGTTAAATTTTGGACCCTTTGGACCTCAATGTGGACCAATTTAAAAACGGGGCCCAAAATCCAAAAACTTAATACACGATTAGATTCAGCATATTAAAGAACCCCAAGAATTCAAGAATAAAACCCCATTGAAATTGATCAAGAAATAAGCAATTTATACGAAGTATCTTCTTTTGCACAATACTGTGCAATTGAATATTTCTTGCTATTGTGCAATACTGTACAATTGACAATTTCTTGCTATTGCGCAATATTGTGCTATTGGATATTTCTTGCTATTGCGCAATACTGTGCAATTGAAGATTTCTTGCTATTGCGCAATACTGTGCAATTGAAGATTTCTTGCAATTGTGCAATACTGTGCAATTGAAAATTTCTTGCTATTGCACAATACTTATTATATAATAATTTACACATCCTGTTTGGTGTGTATCTCCTACCATATCATTATTATTTGCTTTTAAATATTAATCAGAAATAACCAACTTAAAATGGAAAATTTTAAAAGAAAAAAAAAAGGAAAAAAGAAAAAAAAAAATCCCCCCCCCCAAATTTTTTGAACCCCCTTATGATTCATCACCCCCCAAACTCAATCCCAGCCTTCCCTTTGTGGTATGGTACCTTGCAGTACAATTTCAGAGAGATCCATACACTTGAACACAAGTTATTGTCTGGAAACTAGAAAAATGCTTATTTTTGGCCCCTTTTTGGCCCCTTTTTCCTAAACGTTTTGGGCAATTACCCCCAAACTCAATTCTAGCTTTCCCTTTGTGATATGGAACCTTGTAGTACAATTTCAGAAATATCCATACACTTGAACACAAGTTATTGTCTGGAAACTAGAAAAATGCTTATTTTTGGCCCCTTTTTGGCCCCTTTTTCCTAAACGTTTTGGGCAATTACCCCCA